CAGAACTCCTCACCCTCTCTTTCTGGAAGCCACCGACTCATGCCGATTTAGTTTGGATTAAAAGTAAAAACTCCTGACATTGTGAGAAATGGTTTTGTCAAAATGAATCATCCAAGGCTTCCAAATGTAGATTGTGTTGTAAAATGGGGCTGCTCGACAGGTTCACCCCACTACATTGTATATTATGGTCATGATTTAACATCCAGCAATTGATAGCATCATCAATACTAACATGCAGCGTTTGGCTTTGTTGTGAAGAGATTTTTTTTTATCAAACTTTTCAGTAAAATTGCTTGATGGCTTTAAAGTTATTTATGTTAATTAAATCAACTTGTGAATTTGGTTATTTATCTTCAAATTCAGGGATATAAGAGAGCATTAATCAAAGGGATTAACTAGGTCCAGCTTTCGTTTTGGTCCGGAAATTAATGTCCACCACGGGAGAAAGTATTGCCTTATCTATCAGTTACACAAAGGAATTAACCTTTCCTTCAATCTTGGCTGGAGTTATGCAAGAAGCTCAACAGTTCTTATAAATGGTGCCCAAGATCCAAGTTAAGCAAAGCTAGCTACAACAAGAACCCAAAACCAGAAACATGGAAAACCAGAGAAGTCTTGAAAATATTATCTCAGCTAGGAGTTTGATAAATTTCATTCCCATCCAAATGACCCTAAAAGCTGCGATTGAGCTAAATGTCTTCAGCATCATAGCCAAGTCAGGGCCTGCATCTCATCTCACAGCAAAAGAAATTGCCTCACAAATTCCAACTTCAAATCCAAATGCAGCTGGGAATTTGGAGAGAATTCTGAGACTGCTGGCTGCCCATTCCCTCCTATCCACAACCCTAAAACCATGCCCAAATGATGAGACATTGCAAGAAAGGGCTTATGGCCTCACAAATGAGACACTCTGCTTGGTTCCAGATGAAAATGGAGTTTCATTGGCCCCATTGATAATTTTGAACTCTGAACTTGAGATTGTGAAGAGCTTGTACATGCTCAAGGACACAGTTCTTGAACCAGACTGCTTGCCCTTCCGCAAGGCCCATGGAATTACCATTTATGAGTACATGTCCAAGAAACCTGAGATGAGCCAATTGTTTAACAAGTCTATGGCTGAAAGTTCTAACCTAAATTTTAGTGAGGTGTTAATGGTTTACAAAGGGTTTGAAGAGGTGAAGGAGTTGATGGATGTAGGGGGTGGCATTGGAACTTCCGTGTCAAAAGTAGTTTCTATGTATCCCCACATCCATGGAATTAACTTTGATTTGCCCAACGTTGTTGCCCAAGCTCCTACATACCAAGGTTAGTAACTTAGTATCATCAAAATTTGAAGACAAATTAAAAGTCAAGATAAGCAGAGAATTCGAATCCAATTTTGGTCACATCTCATGTACACTTTTTTTTCTTCTTTTCTTATGAATTTGACCCATTGTTTGGTTATATTAATCTTAACCAACATGTAAACCTATTACATGCAGGTGTGAATCATGTTGGTGGAAATATGTTTGAGACGATACCAAATGCACAATCAATTATGTTGAAGGTTAGTTTGCTTAGTTCTTAATTATTTATGTCCCTTAAAAATGCTAGCATCAGTTGTTCGTGAGCGCGTGACTGAATATCGGCCATTAATCTATGCACGAGTCATGACCCCACAAACAAACGTAGCTAACTAAATCTACATGGCTTGCAGTGGGTGCTCCATAACTGGGGAGATGATCAATGCAAGAAAGTATTGAGAAATTGTTGGGAGGCATTGCCAAAAAGTGGGAAGGTGATAGTTGTGGAATTTGCAATACCTGAAGAAATGGAGAAGACAAAAGCAGTGTTGAACATAGTAACGTTGGACATCTCAATGATGGCATGCCCTGGCGGTAAGGAACGAACAACAACTGAGTTTGCTAACTTAGCAAAACATGTAGGTTTTGTCGAAACTAAAATTTTTCCAATCTCATATGGGATTTATGTTTTGGAGTTTCTCAAGATAGAAGAAGCATGAGATTAATAGTATAACATTATGATCCTACATATTTTTCTCATTTCCTTAAATTTGCAAAGAGACCCATAGATTTTTTTTTCTCCCTAGTTAAAAACGAAAAGTATAAAAACAAGTTTGTGTTTTTCACTGGGACTTGTCTCCTTCTCTGAGAGGAGATACATTCACAAAAAATACAAATAGAAAAACTTATACACACATAACGTACTACCATTGTCAGGAACGTAAGAATTTCTACTTACGAGGATAGTATTTTCCTTTCCACAGTTTTTTTATAAAAGTCTATATCATTTCTCATCATCTTCACCATAATACTCTAGTAATCGTAATCGTCGTGATCATATTGATTCGATTCGAATTGCAAGTACCATTTGAAGATTTCACTGGTTGTACCTAAACCCTCGTCTTGGTTGCTGGCGTACCACACTATTACATTTATGTATTTAGTTTAACTCTTTGTGATTGGTCACTTTCCTGGTATGTCATTTGAGCATTACTGAGAGAAAGATATGAAGCAATCATCGATAAAACCACTGTTCATTAATTTTTGTCAGAATAATAATTGGAAAGCTATATTCTGTTTGCTCATCACTCAAGGAAGCACTACTCATTGTTCTTATTGAATCTCACCATACAATAAATCAATATCAAAGGACTGTTTACGTATGACATACCGTGATTGATCGAGAATATCAATATTCATACAAATGTTTTTCCATCCTAAAAAATCACTTATGAACAGAAATATTTTTTTATAAAAACAGTTTCAAACGGGCTCTAAAAATATTATCGATTAAATGTCAAAAAATTTGAAACGCATTTTTTTGGGCCACGCAAGCGCACTCTTTTATCTCCTTTATCAGGATCAGGAAGAATTGGGTACCCATTTGTCATTTTGAAATTTATCCACAGCTTCTTTTGGTATCGATAAGATCAAATGGGCACATGTGGCAGCGCCATGTGGGTCGCACCGATTCAGTCCAGTCCTTCTCACGCAACTGCCATTCCCAACCTCCAGGCTGCCCCCACGTGTCCTGGCCCACGAGTCTTCCCCTGTACCACGTGCCACCCAATCACAAGCTCTCCAATAGGACAAGCCAATACGCGAAAACAACACTGACTCGCAGCAGCGGCCAGCGGCCCGGCCCCACCTAAAAATAAAGGGCTAACTCTTATCGGAAAGTGGGTCCCGATTTGGACTGCTTTTCAGATTAATCGCGCAAACGGTCAAAAGAGCACGTACCCTGATATCTGTCGGCAGCACACGATGCTGCCACGTGTCCGATGCTATCAGTGTTTTGCCCTTTTAAGCTGGCAAAGTGGCTAGGCATCTCCACTCGCTCGAGTTGGTGAAGTTAGTCTGACTCGATTTATAAGCTCCCGATGCGACGTCGTACGACGGAATTTGGGCGGACGTGTCGTTTCCGGGTGGAGAGCGTGTGAAAATCTGATCAGCCCATTTGTGAAGGGAAGGGACCCAACCACCTATAAGCCGTAACTTTCGCAACAAGACAGAATTAACCTTTCGGGGCCCAAGTGTGAACCGCAGCTTTCGAGGACCTAAATAGTACAAATCTGTCAAATATTATTTATATAACGGTGTCAGTTTTGATTTGTATATATGATTTCAGATTTGAACTCTCGTAGCACATTAATAGTGTATGTGGAAAAAACTCATCTTTTATTGTAACTTAAATTATCGCTTATACTAAAAAAATATTATAGATATATCCGTGTTATAAATAAGGTCAATCACATACCAATAATGTCGTCCTATGTGACAATTTGACGATCACATTATTTTCGCATTTTCTTCAGAAAGGAGGGTAAGAGATGTTTAAGGAGTGTAGATAACACCCCATACTGAATTTGGTAAGGTAGATTAGAGCACAAACAATTGTGCAATTTTTTTTTTGTTTTTTTGTTGAGAGAGAGGACACAATTATACTTGTCTTAAATAGTTCTGTACAAGTCTTTGCAAATTCCATGCTTTTCTTGCCTTGATTCTCTTCTTACATGTTATATTCTTTTATTCAGATTATTCTGAGCTAAGAGTTCCATAGCAGAATGCTCTAAAATTGGTTTTAGCCATAACTCCAAGCTGCTGACCAAATCCCTCTAAAAACCAAAACATAGCTGTTTTACTTAATTTAATCGCATAAATGTATGGTAGTAGTGATAAGGCCACAATTTATTTATTTCTTTTCTTTAGTGTGAGTGTCTTAAAATAGCAAACTTCGATTAAAATAAATCACAAAGTATAATTCTTAATGGCCATACAGAATCACATAAGATTGTTTTTTAAGTCGAAAGCACTTGATAGAAGCCACTCACCAAACGCCATCGCATCTATAATCTCTTTCACGTAAAGCTATGAAATCAAAAGTTGCCCTAAAGCTTAAAATGACGATTCAAGGCATGCCAAGTTGCAAGTTGACACACAGAGTTTTGTAACTGTAAATTATTGTTCATTTGCTTCCTTCAATGGACGCTTTAAACTCCCCAACGTTACAAAACGTCCATATAAATAAACACATAACTGTCAAATTTATCATATTTAAAGGGATTACTTGTGAAATTTTTTATTTTTACACATTTATGTTTTCTGCAAGCAACTTTTCATCTTTGGGAATAACGGTTCTCAAATTATGAAACATTATTTTACACCTTTAAAAAAACATTAAATTTGACATTTTTTAACATTCATATTGAGGATTGAGCCACAACAGATTATAATTTTTTTATAAAATACAAATATTATAGTTTAGAACTCGAGACCAAAGTGTCATGAAAGTTTGAAATGAAGCCACTAGTTTGCAAGATAAGATGTTTTTCACTGGACTAGACTCCGTTGGCAATAAATTTTATTTTTCGTTTTTGTTTTTTGGGATTTTTTACGCAATGACTGTGAGGAGGCAGGGCAGCCTATTTTTGTCCTTTTAACTAAGCACTCCCACTTCTTGTCCCCCAAAAATAAAATTGCCAACCCAACAGGGGCCACAACAAGCTATTCACACTCGAGATATTTTCGTTTGCTCATTCATTTTGGCTATGGCATTGCCTTTTATGGACTGTAACATCACAACCACCTAAAGCTATCAACCTCCTCAGCCTTTCCTCTTCTTTCCCAACGGTTACTTTCCCTTCCGTCAATTCAATTTCAATGCCGCTATAACGGCTCTGTTTCTCTCTCTTTCTCTTATTTCATTTCCTTTCTTATCTTATTTTCAAGTGTTTTTGTGCATATACATATATGGTCACCTGAACTGTCATTCCAAAAGTGCGTAGAGGAAGAGAAAGTTTGAGTCTTTTGGTGTTTAGAGAGAAACCCAGATGGATCTCACTTCGTTCTTGACGTCCTTAGGAACGTCTTTTGCCATTTTCGTCATTTTGATGTTTCTCTTCAATTGGCTTTCAAGGAAGCCTGGGAACACTGTGATTTACTATCCCAATCGGATCTTAAGAGGCTTGGATCCATGGGAGGGCGGGTCCAAGACCCGAAACCCGTTTGCTTGGATCAAAGAGGCTCTAACTTCCACAGAACAGGAAGTTATCTCCATGTCAGGGGTTGACACTGCTGTGTACTTTGTGTTCTTGAGCACTGGTTTGTCTCTGCCTCTTGTCTGTTTGACAAGTTTAAAAATTACTGTTTCTCTTTTGTTTGTACCTGACACTTTCTGGGTTTTGTTCATTTGCTGAAAGCCTGAAATTATTAGAGCTTTGTTGTTGATTTGGTTGGATGGACTAATTTGAAGGCTACTCTCAGATTTCTATTGTTGCTATTTATGTGAATAGTTAAGGGTTAAGCCTGTTTCTTGTAGCCCTCTTCTCCTCTTCTCCTCTTTTCTGCATTTCATAAACTAGCTCATCAATGAGTAGTGTTCTATCAGCTTGTTTATACCCAAAACACTACTTATTTTAAGGGTCAAGTCTATTTCTTGTAGCCCTGTTCACCTCCTTTTGCATTAATGCATGAGTAGCGTGTTTCCAGTCGGCCTTTACTTTTAAAACTATGGATTTGTGTAAAAATGAATGGAATTTTATGTTGGGATACTGTGCCTTGCAAGGTGAACAAGATATATATGTCATGGGTGAACTTGAACACAGTAGTTGTTACAGGAGAAGCTGTATGCAATGTGGTTATTTTGTTTCCGTGTTTGGGTAAAAACTGTATGCAATGCTTGACCTAAACATGTTAATATTTTTTTGTTTATAAAGTGCAAAATTTTGAAGTTCTAACTTTCCTATTGATGCGCCAGTGTTGGGAATATTGGTTTTATCCAGCCTTATTCTGCTACCAGTCCTTCTGCCAGTTGCTGCCACTGACGTTGGAGACAAGTTATCCATCAATGCCACAAGCAATGGCACTTTTAGTGACCTTGACAAGTTAGCCATGGGACATCTCCAGGTAAGCTATACAAATTTTCATGAATCTCTCGGCCTTTTTCTTCTTTTCCCATGGGATCAAACAACCATTTTTAATTGTGGCAGCTCTGGGTTTTCTTATAATCTTTTCGAATGATATCATTCGGGTTCCAGAGTTGGGAGCTTTTAGTTTTTTAGCTGTTCATGTTAGTGCTAACATGATGAACATGAACTCATACTAACTTTGTTTATGTATGTCTTTTTGGTTGTACAGAAGAAGAGTCCTAGGATGTGGGCATTTCTGATAGGCGTCTACTGGGTTTCTTTTGTTACATATTTCTTGTTGTGGAAGGCATATAAACATGTCTCCGCCCTTAGAGCCAATGCTTTAATGTCTCCTCAAGTGAAGCCTGAACAATTTGCAATTCTTGTTAGAGACATACCTGCTGCTCCTGCAGGTCAACTTAGAAAGGAACAGGTCGATTCTTATTTTAAGACTGTCTACCCCGATACATTTTACAGATCATTGGTGGTCACAAATAATAAAGAGGTATGGTTCTCGATTTGCCTTTTCCTAAGCATTTTGTGCCTTTGTTCTCTGTTATGGGTGTGAACATCTCTGATTGGGTTTGGCTATTCCAGGTTCCTGTTAGGATAGGACTTTTATCACAATTGATATTTTTTCCTTAACATTAAAATTTATTATCTATTTGGGCGTCTGGAATCTTTTTTTGGGTCAGATAAATTCCAATTTTATTTGGAGCATGTAAAAATTCAAGATGCCTAGAGAAAGTACAGTTGATCAGATGATTATCCTTTTTCAATATGACTGCTGATGGTGTGCTTCCCATTTTAGTTCCATTCATGCTAATTTTATTCTTATATAGGTCAACAAAATCTGGGAAGAGTTAGAAAAGTATAAGAAGAAGCTTGCACGTGCTGAATCAATTTATGCAGCATCAAAAAATACTGGCAATGCAGAAGGAAAAAGACCCACTAACAAAACTGGCTTCCTTGGTCTTTGTGGGAATAAGGTGGACAGTATAGATTACTACACTGAGAAGATCAATGAATTAATCCCAAAACTGGAGACTGAACAAAAAGCTACTCTCCGAGAGAAGCAGGAAAATGCTGCTCTAGTTTTTTTCACCAATAGGGTGACTGCAGCTTCTGCAGCTCAGACTCTACATGCCCAAATTGTTGACACATGGACAGTCACTGATGCTCCTGAGCCTCGTCAAGTCCTTTGGCCTAATCTTAAAATTAAGTATTTCCAGAGGCAAGTACGGCAGTATGTTGTGTACATCGTCGTGGCTCTGACCGTTGTGTTTTATATGATTCCAATTACATTTATCTCTGCATTCACAACATTGGACAATCTGAAGAAATTTCTCCCATTTCTAAAGCCAGTTGTGAATCAAGCTGCGATTAAGACAGTGCTAGAGGCTTATCTACCTCAAATTGCACTTATAATCTTTCTAGCTTTGTTGCCAAAGTTCCTTTTCTTTTTGTCTAAGGCTGAGGGAATCCCTTCTCAGAGCCATGCTATAAGGGCTGCTTCTGGGAAATATTTTTATTTCACTATCTTCAATGTTTTTCTTGGAATTACAATAGGGGGAACCTTATTCAAAACATTCAAGACCATTGAGAAGGATCCCAACTCTATTGTCACCTTACTAGCAACTAGCCTACCCAGCAGTGCAACTTACTTCCTCACCTTTGTGGCTCTGAAGTAAGTAACAGTTTACACCTTCTAGCTATTCTTTTTCAGTATCAGAAACTGAAACGAGATTGCAAAGTATCTTATTGTTGGACACTAACGCTTCTTTTAACTGCTATTTGGGGTGAATATAAAGGAGCTTTCATTCTTACTTGTCCACAACAATCATGCCTTTAATAGTGAAGTGATTTTCATAATTTCCATTGATGACAGGTTTTTCATTGGCTATGGTCTTGAACTGTCCCGAATAGTTCCTCTAATCATTTTCCATATAAAGAGGAAGTATCTTTGTAAGACTGAAGCCGAGTTGAAAGCAGCGTGGCTTCCCAGTGATCTTGGTTATGGGACTAGAGTGCCTGGTGATATGCTCATCATTACAATTGTCCTCTGCTACTCTGTTATTGCCCCACTGATTCTTCCATTTGGTGTTCTGTACTTTGGCATTGGATGGCTTGTCCTTCGGAATCAGGTATACTTCTGTCTTCTATGGATTGCCAGTTTCCAGTTTTCAGTTGAAAAACTCTTCATCATTTGTCTATTAGTTTAGGCACAGCCTATGATATATGCAATCGAAAACTAAAGTTTGTTCTTTGATTGAGCAGGCACTCAAAGTTTATGTTCCTGCATACGAAAGCTATGGAAGGATGTGGCCTCACATGCACGTTCGAGTTCTTGCATCTCTGATATTGTACCAAGTTACCATGCTTGGTTACTTTGGTGTGAAAGAATTCGTCTTTGCACCAATCCTAATCGTACTTCCCATCCTGTCCTTGCTCTTTGGTTTCATCTGCAGGAAGAAATTCTACCGGGCTTTCCAAGACACTGCTCTTGAAGTTGCTGCTCATGAACTAAAGGAACTTCCTAACATGGAGCAAGTTTACAGAGCTTACATCCCACCAAGCCTGGGATCCGAGAAGATAGATGATGATCAATTCGAAGATGCTCAATCTCATGTTTCGAGAGGAGGATCATTTGCCTAGTGTATAATATTCAGTCGTGTAGTTTAGAAGTGATTTAGTTTGATTTTACTGAAACTGGTTTGGATTTGGATGATTTGTCAGTTGTTTATAACATGTGATTAGGAACCCCTCAGCATTGCGTTGTTTGTAGCATCTTGGATATATTCCTTGTAATGTTTGTCTGGTGGAATTTCTTTTAGAGTCATGTTTGATGTGAATATGGGTCTCTACCAGGAATTATGTCTGCATTACAGATGATTCATCTCGTCCTTTAGATTTCATGATTTAGTTTGTTACTTTCTTGTTTCCTCTGATTTACAATTTGCAAATTATGTTCCTGTTGATTAAAGCAATCTTGATTCTTATTAAAAAAGAGAGAAAAAAAAAGCATAGCGTTCTTTCTTGCACTCAAGTTCGAATTCGTTAGCTAGATTAGATTAATTTAAAATAATTTATATAATTAAAAAAGAAAATAGTAATAAATATAACTCTTTTTTTTTTATAGAAAAATAAATCCATCAATTAGACCAAGCTAGACTCATAGTTGGCGCCTCTCAGCAGGACCAAAAACCTCAAACGCCACCATAAAACTCTCCATGGAAGATTTCAAAGCCACAACACAAAACCCATTTGTCTGAACCTCCAAAAACCCACACAAAACCCTTTGAAAACCAATGGCTTCATCTTCGCCACCAGGCATGGTGGTCCACAACCGCTTCTTAGGGTTCCTCATATGGCAATCTATCCCCTCCACTGTCATCTTCTTCATCTTCAAAACCCTCTCATCAACCATCTCTTCCACTTCTCACTCCACCGCCAAACCCCCATTCCCATTTGCCCCGTCTGTTTTTGCCTTTGTTACATTCTTGACCTTCCACCTTTCACAGCTTCTCTTCTCCTTCTCACTCTCCCTCATCTCCTCACCCCACCCCCACCGCCTAGCCTCTCCTCTTCACCTCGCTCTCGGCCTCATACGCTTCCTTTTCGTTCCCGGTGGCTCCGATTTATCGGAGTCTCCCGAGTCTCGGGTTCGGGCTAAGTTATCGGTCGGGTTCCTGCTGTTTTTGGCAGCGGCAGCGGTTTCGGGGTTCGTTGCGGTGGTTTCGGTGTGTGTGAAATTTGGTGATGGGGTTGGGGTGATTGGGGCAGTGGGGTTTAGGGGTTTTGTGATGGGTTTGCTTTATGGCTTGTATTATGTCTATTACCGCAGATGGGTCTTCGAGTTTCCCATTATTCAGGTCAGCTCTCAGCTACTTATGTACATCTTTTGAATCTGTCTCCGTCTTCTTCTTTGTCCTAAAAGAAAAATTATGTTATACTTTTTGCTGCTATAGTGTGTTATAGTTTCTGGTGCTATAGCTTTGGTTGCTGGGAAACCTGGAAGTAGCAGAAGTAAAATGCATGGCTGGTTCAAATTGTGCAGGATGTGTAAAATAATGTATCATTCTGTGTTGGTTTTAGTGGAGTAAAGACCCTGGTAGATTACTATGATTAGATGCTCAAAGACCCTGGTCAATTGATTGAAAGTGCAGTTTCTAGATGCACACACAACTAATCATATTTCGATAAATTGCATTCATACCTTAGATATCTAGGATGATTAAGGTAGTTTGATGTTTTGAGATGTAGAGCTCAAAAGGAGGGGGGAGCAAAAGAAAGAAACAATCCAAGTTTTGCTATAAATTGCCAAATCATGTTAAATATGATGAGATGCTATCTATCATTGGGTTCTCTGAGTAATTAAGGGTTTTCCCATTTATAGTGTATATGTTGGAGTATGGAATTCCTCTTTTTTAGATATTTTTACTTTTCTTGTTTATGAGCTTGCAATACGTATTGGATGTAGAAAAATGTTAAATTTACTGGTTGAGAGTTGAGACTGTTTTAGTCGCACTCAGATTTACTAAGTTTTCAGTCTTAATTAATTGTTAGTCTGTTTCAATATCCGCATGTTGCCTTTTGCTTTCTCCTCACACAAGTCATGGCTCTTACTCTAATTGCTTATGTCAACAGCGTCCTCCTTTTTTCAGCTTCAAGATGGGACTCCCTTCGGCTATCACACGATCCTTGAAGCTATCCTGCCTGGCATCTCTATTTTCAGCTTTTCTGGTGGTGTTTCTGCCCCACCAGCTTCATAACCAAGCTACAATCGGAAAGGTCATTGCTGAGCAGATTATATTTTACGTTGGGAGTTTCTTAGTGTTTCTCTGCTGGGAAATAAGTCACCATTTACATCAGGTTTGGTTCTTCAAACATTTTAACATGGTTGCTAATTTTCATTCATGTCAATACTACTGCACATGGTTGACAAAAGCATTGCTGTAGCAGATCAACTAAAATATATATTTTGATGTTTGTTCTGCTGCAAGTTCTTGTTTTTTCAAATACCCACTTCTGTTCATAAATGGTTTGTATGAGCCTAGGTGTATGATTCTTTGAATATAGAAGTACCAGGGTATATGAAAATTTCTTGCGTGTTGTATTACCCCCTTCCAATGCTCTTCATTAGTTCACATCCCCGTACAATTATAAAAATGAATGTGACATAAATGTAACAGAAGTCATGAGTGCAATAAACTGGAGCTTCATGCAGCATAGACCTGTTCAATTGGTTGTTTATTTTTGTTTCTTTCTTATATTTTATATTTCAATTTTGTCTTTCTGATCATATTATGGAATTAAGCTATTTTTTACATTGTCAAGTAAATAATTGACTGGTTTCTTCTTCTATGCCTTTTTATGGCTTTTCATATTGGTGGATAAACAATATTTTAAGCCTTTTCTTGTTGCCAATTTGGATTCTTAAATTAAGTGCTATCGAGAATTATCTCAATGCTGTGCTACTTTAAAATGACTGCATCTCATATGATTGCAATAGGGTCCTTGTGGGTATGGTGTTGGCCTTGAACCTTCAGACTTCATTCTCCTTGGACATGTATTTGACAATTCTGAGATGTTTCTTCTTTCATTCACTAATACTTCGTAATGATCTTAACTCCTAAATGCCTGTGCCCTATTTCTGTGTCCATGCTTCACAGCTATGTTACTTATGTAAAATTTCCTTTGGTGCAAATTTAAGAAATGTTCTTATATGCCCTGTATAATTCAGTTTAATACGTATTTCCTAGTTTCTTCCTAATGTTAGAACCCGTCAAAGAAACATCATTTATAATTTGAACCTAAGCTAAATCAAGTGTTTGGTGTCAGTAGTTTTTGATGGAATTTTTATATGAACTTAGCTACTTTTCTAGGATGTGAACTTAGCTGCCTAATGACACTAGAAAACTTGTATCTCGTTCATATACATGCTATATGGGAAACTTTATAAATCATGCAGTTTGATCTCTTATACTTTTTATTCTTTTTTGGTTAAAGAATTTGTGTACATGGGTGCTATTACGTCTGCTATTACAAATGGTCTGGATTAATTGAATCAGCAGTTTTCCTGTTCATGTTATATACTGCCCTTCCTTTGATAGTAAACCATGGCTGTCTTCTAGTATCAATCTATATTTTTTGAAATTGTGTTGGAATCTAGGTGCTTCATACAAAGAGGTTCGTATTTGCACCACCTAAAGGATCAGCAGCAGCAGAAACAAATCCAAGTGAGCATCTTCTTGCAGCTCTGGAAGAAAGCAGTCCTAATTCTCTTCTCCAGTATCTTGCATATCTTGATCTCTATATGGTTTGTGAGAATAATGTTGATACTTGGCGGCGAGCTGCATTTTTTGAAGAAAGTGGTGAAACTTACAAAAGAGTTATATCTGTATGCTTGCGGCCTCTGGAGCAGCTTGCATCAAAGTTGGGCGAAGGCTTGGAAAGTTCTGTTGAAAAAAGCTCCCAAATATCCAATCAGTTACTGTCACCAACTGACCAGCGACTAGACCCAAAATACTCTGAGCCATTGAACAACTTCCAGGTAAACAGATACTTTCTTGATTACACTTGTGGATACATGCCTACAAGTGTGTGCATTATTATTATTATTTTTCCGGTGTATGTCATACTTCATTTACTCGAACTGTGAACTAACATCATGCATGAACGGTGACAAGTGTGTGCATTATTATTATTATTTTTCCGGTGTATGTCATACTTCATTTACTCGAACTGTGAACTAACATCATGCATGGAGTTATCCGTACATATTTTATGATAAAACAACATGGTACAGGTACTTTCCCTCCTTTCCTTCAGGGCATTGTTAATTATTATTAGTAGGAGCCAATTCCTCACAAAAGGATAGTCATTATTCTCATTGGCTGGTCGCAATAACTTGGAGTTAATGCATGTGAAGAACAATGGTCCAATCTTCAGCATTCTTTATCATGAGGCTTTAAATAGTGTTATTGAATATTAAAAATATCGTCAATTGTTTTTGCTAGGTATTAGTTGGTCCATGTCTGGAGATATATGAGCCTCTAGGCACAATATTACTGAAATGAATATGCATAGAGATTCTTGATGATATGTTGATGATTTTCTATAGAAAAAGTGGGAAAAGAAATGGGTAAACTAAATCGACAATATCTTTGATTTCTCATCAACTAAAAAGTCTAATAGTTATTTAATTTTGTCCTCTTATGCAGCTATATGCGTGGTGTGCCTGGACGGCTGCCTCACTGACTACATGCTCACACAGAGAGGACAGATTTGGGGTTGCCCAGCTTTCTGGCAGTAATGCTGCTGTGATCTCAACACTGATTTCTTGTCTTCTTGCTATTGAAACATACATGGGGAAGAAGACCAATTTGCAATCTGCACAGCATTTTATGGGGTCGACAGGTTTTAAATTGAGAACCTCGAGTACGGGGAATATTGGCATGGGTAAAAAGAGAGCTGGCCCCCTTCATTCAAAAGCATATGCCATTGCTGATGTTCTGAGGAACTCAATCTACCATGTTGTGTCTACTTTCCATGATCAGATGGCGAGCAGTGCTAAAAAGGGTCTTCTTGAGAAGGATTGGATCATCAGTGACAAGCCTCCTTTTGGAGAACGCGAGCATCTCGTGCAGAAATTGCATCTTTTCCTGGACTTTCGAACTAGCTAATTGCTTGTCAATTTCCTGGGATTCAAACCTCTTCTTGCCTATTGAATCATTGGACTTGGGGCGGCATACATATGAAGAGCTGGTTTTGTTTCTTAACCTAAGTGAGTGGTGGGTGGAAAGCTGAAGGAGATAACATCATATTTATTACAAAGTAAAACCAAATGGATCCTATGAATTAAGCTGTATGGTTGATAGAAGGCACTTGCATCAACTGTTATACCGAAATCAAAGGTTTTTCCCACCCTGTTTTCTTTGTGTTATAGCCGGGTTCGAATTAATTTTGCTTTACTCAAACTATGGTTAACAACTGAATGAAGTATTGTCAATTGAAACACTTTTTTTCATTTCTTGTTTTGGTTGCTTGTTTTTGGTGATATATGTGTGGGTGGAAGAACCAGAACAAAAAGGTTAGGCTAGGTTAGGTATGCGCCTAGAGCTTCCCTGTTGCCTCTGTTGCCATGGATTGAGGCTTTTTGTGGGTCAACTTTGATTAAGTATATTGTTAGTGACCTTCATTTTATTATTGTTATTATTTGAGTATAAAATTGCACTTATAGGCCATGTTTGGTATGCCTCACTATGCCTCATTGGACTGGACAATGTTACATAATACTTGAAATCCTTGACTCGCTTGTCTAATATAGCGATGCTGAAATGTGGTTCGCAAAATAGTGAGAGCGCTATTTTGAACACGCGAGTCTGACCCTTGGCTTGAATCAAAACCCCACCACCACAGACCCAATCGAAACTTGCTGATGAGTCTCAATTAACTCTAGTTGACGCTCCAAGTTGGCTTGGGCTAGTCAAAAGGCAGATTGATATATAGACAAACTCAGGAAACCAACAAAACCAAAAAGTTCAATATCCAATACTGAAAGGGAAGGAAGAAGAGCTTTCTTAGTGGCGTTCAAGAGACATAGAAAGAGCTCAAATCAATGAGTTGGCTCTGTCATCTAGCAAGTCTCTGCCAATAAAGACCTGCAATAGTAGAAGGGGATGGGGAAGCAGATCTAGCTAGCCCATAGGCCAGTTGAAAGGCCCTAAATCAAAACTAGGGAGGCTAGGGAAGCAAGCTTCCTTATTTTTTCCGCCGCAGGGAGATGAAGGTTTTGGGTTAGTCTGGAGAAATAGGGTGGTTTCGAGAGATAAAGAAAAAAAAGCGTTTTTTTTTTGTCAGAGTGGAAAAAGAAAGGTAGGTAGGAGGTTTCGAGACAGAAGAAAAAAAATTGTTTTTGAATGAAATAGGAAAAAATAAGAAGAAGAAAATGATAACAAAAAGAAAAGAGAGGGAGTGAGAAGAATAAGTAAAAGAGAGAAAGAAAAGAAGGTGTAAAGCCACTTTTACATCTTCTTTACACCTCCGTGGGGTGTAAATACGGTTTGTGCTCCAATGAGAGGGTGTATTTTCGGGGGTGTAAAGCCACTTTTACATCTTCTTTACACCTCCGTGGGGTGTAAATACGGTTTGTGCTCCAATGAGAGGGTGTATTTTCGGGGGTGTAAAGCCACTTTTACATCTTCTTTACACCTCCGTGGGGTGTAAATACGGTTTGTGCTCCAATGAGAGGGTGTATTTTCGGGGGTGTAAAGCCACTTTTACATCTTCTTTACACCTCCGTGGGGTGTAAATACGGTTTGTGCTCCAATGAGAGGGTGTATTTTCGGGGGTGTAAAGCCACTTTTCTCCATTTTCCCTCACCTTTTTGCAGTTGGGTCCCACCTGCAAGAGATGTAAAAAAAGATGTACAATTGCATCTAAATATATATCTCCAAGGTGGTGATGTTATTATACATTCATATACACCCCCCCATTGCGGGTGATTCCGATCACAATGGGTGTATATTTAACATACACCTCCTTATACACCCCCCACTGTGGATGCTCTTAGTCTGACGCAACACCAAATGTAGCTCAGTACTTAATCCAGCTTAGGCCAATCCGAACTGATCCAAGACAGTCCTAGGATTTAGTCAAGTCCATGATAGTCCGCCGTACCAAACGACCCCATAAGTCGCAATTTGAAGCTTATGTTTCTAATTAAACTGTAATTATACATGGAAGAACGTGATTAAATTTATGGGAGATTCACTATTATACCCAATATAGGAGCTCAAATTATAAAAGCACCCTATATGAAATGGATTTTAGAAACATACCCAAAGCCTATTTACAACAAAACAAAAAAGCTTTTAACTTCTTTTAAATTACAAAACTGCCGTTGATTTCTTAAAACAAACCCAACCTCAAAACCTCATAAAAAAAGCCCAAAACACTCAATAGGGCATTAAAGTAATTTAATAATCAAAATTAAATTCAATAGGACCAACTGTCATTTTTTGGGTTTGTTTATAAAAATTAAATTGTGTAGGATTTATCTATGTTATTAGTAATAAGAATGGGTATATGACTAAATATCTCTATATTTATCTATATATATAAAGCAAAAGGCGGAGAATGGTGAAACATTCAAAATACCATAAAATACCCTTGGTTAATGCAAACATTAAGAATTGAAATTATTAATTAAATGAGGATAATATGGTAAATTCACACTTTTTCAAATTAAAAAAATTTAAAATTAAAAGAAAAATCAGATAATGGATCCTCTTTTTATGGAACACAACTACCCATTATCTTTTTTTAATTCTAAAATAAATTTTAAAATTAAAAAAAAAGGCCTCTTGCAAGCGCGGAAGTGCATGTAGAGAGGCTAGTATATATAAAGCAAAAGGCAGAGAATGGTAAAACATTCAAAATACCAGAAAATGCCTTTGGTTAATGCAAATATTAAGAATTGAAATTATTAATTAAATGAAAATAATATGATAAATTCACACTTTTTCATATTAAAAAAATTAAAAATAAAAGAAAAATCAGATAATAGATCCTATTTTTATGGAATACGATTACCCATTATCTTTTTTAATTTTAAAATAAATTTAATTTTTTTAAAAAAAAGTCTGTCGTGGAATCATGTGTAAAGAGGCTAGTGAGTGTGGTGTGAAAAGAAGGGAATGGATTCCATGACTACGTGTTGAAAGTCAAAAAGTCATTTGGTTGGTACTTTTTCTCATGCGTGTTTATCTTTTCTTTGTTCTATATGTTGCCCCTTTGCCTTGAAGTTGCCATGGTTTGTCTGCCTATGCATTGCCCTCATTGTTTTAAAATATTATCAATGCCATTATATAGCTTTTCTAAGTGGCAGTCTTGGTAATTTCCTCTATGATCAGGGTCAACCTTTGAGAGCTTGGGTTGTTAGGCTGGGTAGATTGGGATTTACATATGTGACCATGTCTACAACCGGAACAAGTCCAAATTAAATAAAAATGGTCAATCAACATACAAATATTTCTATATCTTGAGTCTTTCAACCCACGCGTGACACATTCATTATTTAATTCCCATTTTCTTGACATGATTGTTGAGTCTTCTATCCTTCCCTTTGTATATAAATTGATCCCTTTGTTCCCCATTCTCTCATTTCAAACCTCTCAGTTCCTTCATCTTCTAAGCTTAATTTTCAATCCATAGGAGCTCGTAACTCAAGGGGTAGAGCACTTAATCTCTACATCCACCACAAGAGTTCGAGTCCTAATTTTCCGGCCTGTGTGCTTTGAAATTTGAGCAGCATCAACAAAGTCAACCATGGCACTTTCAAGTATGATGTACACCCTTCTTCCGGTCACTAAAGCTGCCTCCGGCGCAACCCGGTTTTCCTTAATCCGTTCTAGTCATCATCAAGAAGCTGTTCTTGATCACCAGCAAACAAAGACATCAAACAAAGCCAATCGTCTAGCTGAATCACTAGCCCATCTCCTTCACCTTCATATCGATACCCCTCCAAGAACCAACACTCACTCTACTAATTGGAATTTGTTTACTGAAGAGAAAATTTCAACTCCCACAACTTCCCCAAAGGAAAGCATATCAGAAAAATGGCGTGAAATTCATGGCTCAAATGATTGGGAGGGTCTTTTGGACCCTCTGCACCCTTGGCTAAGAAGAGAGATTGTCAAATATGGTGAATTTGCCCAAGCAACATATGATGCTTTCGATTTCGATTCATTCTCAGAGTACTGTGGGAGCTGCAGGTACAACCACAAGAAGCTTTTTGATGTGTTGGGTCTAAGCAAAAATGGCTACACAGTGAGCAAATATATTTATGCAATGTCTCACATCGACATGCCGCGTTGGCTGGAGAGGTCGCATTTGGCTGAAACCTGGAGCAAACACTCAAACTGGATGGGATTTGTTGCTGTCAGTGACGATTTGGAGACAAGAAGGATTGGAAGGAGGGATATTGTGGTGGCTTGGCGCGGGACGGTGGCGCCATCTGAGTGGTATGAGGATTTTCAGAGGAAACTGGAGCCAATTGGGCATGGAGAAGCCAAAGTTGAACATGGGTTCCATGGCATTTACACAGCCAAGTGTGAGACTACAAGGTACAACAAGTCCAGTGCCTCAGAGCAAGTCATGAAAGAAGTGACAAGGCTGGTGGAATTTTATAGAGCACAAGGTGAAGAAGTGAGCCTTACAATTACAGGGCACAGCTTGGGTGGTGCCTTGGCTTTGCTCAATGCTTATGAAGCCGCAGAAACAATTCCTGGCCTTCCCATCAGTGTGGTTTCCTTTGGTGCACCTAGAGTTGGCAATATTGCCTTCAAAGATGAGCTCAACCAAATGGGGGTTAAAACCTTGAGGGTTGTGGTGAAGCAGGACATGGTGCATAAAATGCCAGGGCTTGTTTTGAATGAGGGTCTGCAGAAATTTGATGACATAACAGGCACACTGGATTGGGTTTACACACATGTTGGAGCTGAGCTGAAGCTTGATGTTGGTTCGTCGCCTTACCTCAAGCATGGCGGGTTCAATTTGCCGGGATTTCATAGCCTTGAGACCTACCTTCATCTTGTGGATGGTTTTCTAAGCACAGAAACTACTTTTAGGTCAAATGCTAGGAGGGATGTTGCCTTGGTGAACAAGGGATGTGACATGTTGGTGGATGATCTTAGAATCCCACAATGTTGGTACCAATTGCCACATAAGGGACTAGTTTGTAATGCTCATGGGAGATGGGTAAAACCCAAAAGAGACCCTGAAGACATACCTTCACCTACAAGAGAAGCACAAGCACAAGCACATGCTCTTCAAGTAGAGATGATGGAATCAGATTATGCACTTTGTTTTTAAAATTGTAAATTTTGACAGTTAAAAACTTGAAATGTCTCCGCATTTTGTGACCATTTCTTGGCTCTTTCATCATGGATCTCTCACAAGGTTTAAGAAATATGATGAACTTATTATAATCTAGTTTATCATGCAGCATCAACAAACACCCAAAACACAAGTTGCTGATGCCAATTAGAACATCTGCCAAAAGAAATCTTTGCAAAATTAATCATTTTTTTTAAATAGACATAATTTCATATAATTTAAAATCACAATTATACATCAACTAATGGGTACAGTCTTAGAGTCTTAAGAGTAAAAACTATTGTATGTCCTTATTGCAACTTGTGGGTCGGTTGTATAAGAAAGACTCAATTAAAACCTATTTAGACTTAAAATTGAAAATAAATAAATACCACCTAACAGCCAATTTCTAGCCACCAAAGTTGATACGCATCTGGTCTATGTATCTGACTTCAACCTGTAGTTTGCCTACTATGTACTATGTATCTGCCTTCAACCTGACCCTGGAGAGAATTGGACTACGTAACAACTAGATATGAGTTGGGATTAACTGTTATGGCTGACACTAATTTATGCAAAGTACCCGAACCCTAACGCATTTAGCCGAACTGGGTTCTACACGCTGATAAATTGTCTGCTATGATACCATGCTAATATTAGGTACTATCAGGTTAAAAAGTAATGTACACTTGTACCTTGAATAATAAAGAAAAATGTTGAATAATCTAGAAAAATATAGATAAATTGAGAGAAGTTGACAAGTTAAAGTCATTCGAAACATCCTACTAATTATATAATGTATTGTAACTAGATAATTCTAGATTTATTGTACAACTAGTGGCTGAAAATGACTTTGGAAAAGTCGATTACTGTGCAACCAACTTGTCCAAAGCCATTAGCATAGATATATAGGAAAATGCTAGAGGCACCAACTTTGGGCACCAACTTGCTCACCAACTCTCTAATAGAGCGTGGGACCCGTTGTATTGGCGGGCTCCACCTCTATTAGAGAGTTGGTGAGCAAGTTGGTGCCCAAAGTTGGTGCCTCTAGCACCACCCAGATATATAAGCTATCAACCCACTTATGTATTTAAGCAAAAAAAGCTGAAAAACTACAGCTGTCCAATTCATGCAATCATCAAACTCAAGTCTCTAAAGCTTTGTAACTAATTTCCTCCTTCAATCAAATAAAATAAAGTTACCATGTTACTCTTTTAAAAAGTTATCTATTCCATATCAAGCTATTGTCCTATTCTATGTTACTCTTTTAAAATCATTATGAAATCCGAACTCCCATAATGAAACTTTATTAATCAACCTCATCCGAACTTTTCCTTATTATACCCAAACTAATCTCTCGAAAAGCGTGCCTATTGGCACGGTGAGCGAGGAAGTATCCTCACCGATAAACAAGAACAAGTGAATATATATATATATATATATATATATAAGTATCACACCAAGAAGTTTGTACCGAGGAAACAACCCAACCGGGGGATTGTTTGACTAGTCCACATGGAAGAATCCTCAATTGATCATGTGGCTAGGGAACAAGCCGTCCAACTGAGACTAAGCTCACTAACACGTATAGCAGAATCCTCAATACTTGTACGCATGTGACAAGTCCTACGCGCGCAGATTATCCCACTAAGGGTCTCCCCGTCAAGGGTGCCTGAGTTCCAACACATCCAAGGATCTCAACATTCCAAAGTTCCAAATCCGAGGAGGTACATAGGATGATGCTTATAACACTTCAAACTGACATAACTATAATCCACTCTCTTTCACAATCTCAAACCAACACCACACGTACCCAACACATAACCAATCATAGATAGGAATTCTCGAAAATATTATATATCAACTCAAGATACTTGCAATATGCCAAAACCCAAATATATTTCAAAAATAAATAGAAATATCATGTTCCAACAATTAATGAGATAATAAACTCAATAAACCATTAAATCATCATGCTTAATTTTTCGTCTTAAAAATAATGTTATCATTTGAAAACAATGTCCACTCACAAGTAGTCCCATGCTGCTTGACCTTGAGAGGTAGTACTTATTTCATAATACGAGTACGAAATTAATATAAAACGCTTTGAATGAGAACTTTAAATTAAAATCCTAGTTTCCTGGGTTTCAAGTAAGTGTACGAGAAACGAGACGTTCCTAAAGTCCAATTACGTGTTTCGGATGATAGGTTTGAGCCGGAGGTTCCGGGCCATCAAACTTTGGCTTGTGCTTATAAGCTATATAGGGTGAACAACCTTAGGAACTTCATCAGGAGCGATGTGAAATTAACTAAGTTGTTTGAAGGGCTTGTGGGGATGGACAAAAGGTTTGAGGTTGTGGTCCCTAGGAAGTTCTCTTTGGTGTGTTTTAGGGTTTCACCATCAGCAATTAGTAAGGCTAATCCAAGCCCAAGTGATCATGATGAGTTGTTAAATGGTGGAAAATGTGTAGTTAACGAGGTGAATTGCAAGTTGTTGGAGGCGATTAATGGGTCGGATCGGGTGCACATGAGCCATGCTAGGGTTGGAGGGATGTATGTGTTACGTTGCGCAATTGGAGCAAGTCTCACTGAGGAAGAGCATATAGCCATGGCTTGGAAGGTGGTGCAAGAACATGCAGATGCCATCCTCGCCACCATGGCCATGAGGTCATGAGAATACTTGTAGGCAAAGCAATTTGAATCATGGGGTTCAAACTATATATAGTATACACATATAGATAGTAGGTAACGTTCCTTGGAACAATTTGTTTTGCAGATGGCAAGCTCTATCCACAATATATTCCAATAAATTAGAACATGTTCTCAAATTTTACAATAATAAACTTGGACCAGGGTTTTCTTAAATTTCAAATATTTTGTGTTTTCAGAAGAGTTAATATAATATTATTAGCTCCTCAATCACTTCATTCCATGAGGGTCGAAGACGCGATCGATGATGGATACCCAGATTGTTTACGGAGAATGTTGTATGAAAATATATATTTTCTTATCACTACAGCTGAAATAATTAATTACTGCTTGCTTATTAGTAACCAAGGTATAAATGTCAAGGCGAACCCCCGCAACAACAACGAAAATAAATTGGAAAAGAAGGAGCCTAACACACAAGGCTCTAAATTGTTCCCAGGTCTTGTCTTGCGTAATCTTAGATATGGTTTGTAAGAAAATGAAAGATGATACAAGCAAATAGAAAAGTGTTAGCTCGACGATTAATTAGCATAAACTTTAACTTTCAATCAGATTTCCAGAGTTTAGAGTAGTCTTTCTTTAACTCGAAAGCCTACGCACGCTCCCACATCTTCATCAAATCTCATACACGGATTTTTCTTTCATTTTCAATTACAATACACATAGTTGTAAACTTTCTGTATAGCAAATTCATATATATATAGTTTTCATGGCTCAAATGATTGGGAAGGTCTTTTGGACCCTCTGCAAATTCATATAGAAAGATACTCAAAAAAAAAAAAAATAACTATAACTGTGCAAAAGAAAAGATCGATGCATGAAATCGAAGAGTTTCAATTTTTTGTTTCATGATTCCACCTCAAGCATAAAAATAAAAATTCAATGTATAAGAAAGAGACTCAATTAAAACCTATTTAGACTTAAAATTAAAAATAGATAAAGATCACCTAACTGCCAATTTCAAACCAAATTAAACAAAACCACAACATAGAGAGCAGGCATATACAAGAACTCAAATGTTGTTTGGTGTTGTTGTGAGATCGCATCAATTAAAATGAATGGATGGGAATTGTGCTATAAACAAACAAATGTCCACTAAGACCCTTCAGAGAATTGGACTACATAACAACTAATTTGGGCAAAATACCCCAACCCTAAGACAAAAGGACAAAATCCGATACTCCTAACATTCAACTCAAAACCAATTAGCAATAAGGGATTTAGCCAAACTGGGTTCTACACGCGGATAAATTGTCTGCTATGATACCATGCTAAAGTTAGGGCATTCAACCTAAACTTAGTTGGCAATAAATAGAGAAGTTGCAGATCTCCTTTAATCTAAATATAAGGCTTAGAGCTACAAAACCCCTATATGTATATATATAACCATTCTGATTTCACTAAGTGGAAGGAACTCAATAGTACTCTTATTTCACTCTTCCAAATTCCAATCCCAGCCCTTGCTGTGTGTTTCTCATTCCAATATTACATCCAAATGGGTAGCCTAAATTTCGACCATCCACAAAAAAACAACTCTGCCCACATGTCTGGCCCTCTGGACCTTGTGGAGTTGAGAAGACAAGGCCACATGATGATAGATTTCATTGCTGATTATTACCAAAACATAGAGAAACACCCAGTTCTTAGCCAAGTCCAACCAGGCTATCTCAAACAACGCTTGCCAGAATCTGCCCCATACAACCCTGAACCCATTGAAACCATCCTCCGAGACGTGCAGGATCACATTGTCCCTGGCCTAACACATTGGCAAAGCCCTAACCACTTTGCCTACTTCCCTGCAACTATCAGCACCGCAGGGTTTCTCGGCGAAATGCTCACCACTTGCTTCAATGTTGTGGGGTTCAACTGGATGGCATCCCCAGCTGCAACTGAGCTCGAAACCATTGTCATGGATTGGCTTGGAGATATGCTCAAACTTCCCAACTCTTTCCTCTTCTCCGGCACCGGTGGCGGTGTGTTGCATGGAAGTACTCATGAGTCTGTCGTTTGCACCATGGCAGCTGCCAGGGACCAAATCCTGAGCCGAATTGGTGAAGAGAATATAGGGAAACTTGTGGTGTACGGCTCTGATCAAACACATAGCGTCATTCAAAAAGTGTCCCAAATTGTTGGGATCCCATCAAAGAACTTCCGGGCCATCGAGACCACAATATCATCATCCTTTACACTGTCCCCTGAAACCCTACGGTTGACTGTTTGTTCAGACATGGAAGCTGGGTTGGTTCCATTCTATCTATGCGCCACCGTGGGAACAACCGCAACCACAGCCGTCGATCCACTGGGGCCACTCTGCGACGTGGCAAAAGATTACGGCATGTGGGTTCATGTGGACGCTGCATATGCCGGAAGTGCTTGCATTTGCCC